CTCTCTTACAAAATCATCCCAATCAATCTAGAATTATGAATTCTATCCAAATTGAGCCATTCATTTTATCTGGTCAAAGTATACTCAACATCGCAATATGTATTGCAGAAATATTAAACATCGCAGAGTTTTTTCCAATATCATGCAGCTCTACCATGAACCCATATGAATTATGAGCACATTTCAAAAATATGAGATAGTAATATCTTTTATTGGCTGTAGTATTAAGGCCAAAGCCCAGAAGAATTACGTTTTAAAAGTAATTGTTTCTGTGATGGCAAAGCTGATTTTTCAACAGCCAACTCTCCGCTAACAGAAATCTTTGAATTATGTTGATTAAATCAGTGATAAAAAAAACATTTTGATCAAATTATTTAAACTATATTTGATAAATAAAGTATTATTTCTCTAAATAAATCATTAAGGACTCTTTGAAAGCATTAGGGCTCTTTAAACATTTTTGTAATGTATAATTCTATAGAAACAGCCTAATCTAGAAATCTAGAATTTCATGTCAACTGTTGTTGTGTAAAACCATACACAACACACACAGACACACGCACATGCACGCACACACATGCACACACACGCACGCACAAACACGCACACACACACAAAACATCAGCACTTGTCAATCCTGGCACAAACCCTGATGAGGGCTTTGGCACTACAAATCCGCATGTAATCCCAGTCGGCTACACAGCTTACCTGCCACTTTTTAATATAGTAAGTATTTACTGTAGTTCTGCCATGGTGACCGGCCAATTCAATCCCATTACTCTGTGCACAGATTTGAGCTGGCGAGCGCAGATAAAACTCTATCTCCTCAGTTAATTACTCTTTACCACTGCAATCAGTGCAGGAGTGGCAGCTTGTTAAGATACAGAAAGAGAGACAGAGAGCAGACAGGCCCGTCTTTATGCAGATGAGCAAATGTACAGACGTGTGGAACAAACACAGAAACACACACACTATGGCAAGCAGTTTTAACATTTAATCTATATAAAATACTGCTTTCTGTTTTCATGCAGCTACAACTCTTTTATGTACACAGTAACCTTTCCATTGATTAATTATTCATTAGCTGCTAGAACTTAATCTGTAAGTACTAATACTGGAATACTAGTACTTTGTTCATTATATTCATTTCTATAAAATAATATAGATCTTAAAATCTTAAAATATTATTAGATCTTATTAATTGCACACCACTATTTTACTGGCAATTTTTCATAAAATAGTTACGATTTTTTATTGTAACTGGTAACTCAGTGCTTCCCACACAGATTTTTTCTTGGGAGGGCTGCCCATGTATATTAATGGCTGCCCTATTTTTAATACATTATTTAGAAGTAAATGAATTAGTAAAAAAAATTATTATTATTTTTACTATCATTAACATCCTTTCACATCCGCAATCAATTACGTAATGGAAAATCTTCTCCCGTTTACCAGTTTCATTCTTTCAACAATTATGCAGACAGTTTCACCTGCTCTTCAGACCCACAAAGATGTACAATGTTGGGACTTAAAAAAATTGTCTGGCTCGGGTTTCTAAATGTCCTAAAATGTCCGAAATGAAACTTTTGCTTTCATTTTTTAAAGCTTGTATGTGTTTTTGCATTACTCTTTTATTAAAGAATACTTTCTGCCTGGTTTCACAGCTGACAGCGCATGCTCAGCCACGATACCAAGAGAAAAAGTAAATAATAGATTCATTAATCTAAACAACTTAGAAATCTTCACTATATATACTCGGAGAGGACGAAATGACATCTAAACTGGCTGGAAAATATATGTACACCATTATTATTTAATCAATGCATTTGTCTTATTTTAACAAATCTACTTGTTTAATGTTCTAATTCTAATATTTAGAAATATTTTCTGTTTTTATTAACTTTTCTGCCATTTATTTCTCATTTGCTGGTTATTTGCTCTGTTCATAGCTAATACAACCTGTATAAAATGTTCATAGTACATCCATCTGTAAATATTGCCATAGATATTTTATAACTGCACTTTATAACTTATGCCTGTATCCTGCACTTGCTGCTACTACAGTACTGGTTAGACCTAAACTGCATTTCGTTGCCTTGTACTTGTACATGTGTAATGACAATAATGTTAAATCTAACCTAAATTTAATTTTATTAATTTGATGATGGCTATATATTACAAAGGCTATTTTATATACAAATCTAAAGTGCTTTGGCATTCAAGTTTGCTTTGAACTTGAAAGAGAGAACAAGGCAGATTTTACCTATCCATGGGTGCACATGGCTCCTGAACAGCAAAAAAGTATTTCTTTTTTATTTCAGTCTTTTTAACATTTTTTTTTACTTTAACCCATTAAAAGTTATAATAAATACAATTATTATTAAAAATGAAATAGTTCTGTTTGATGAATATAGCTAACTATTTATGTGATTTGGGTAAATGGTGCATTTCAATACGGCCACCACTGCAAGTATATTTTAAACCTGTGGGAAGCTCTTTGTATATTTAACTATATATCAAAATAAACAGCAACTGTTAAATTTCTCATTGACTTTTATGGCTTTTATTATCTGTTAATGACATATAAACTAGCCTAGAATATACAGTAGGTACGGAAATTATTCACACCCTAAAATACAAGTACAGGGATATCCTGCACAAAAACTTTCTCCACAGTGCTCAGGACCTCAGACTGGGCTAAAGGTTTACCTTAAACAAAACAATGACCCTAAGCACTCAGCTAAAATAACGAAGGAGTGGCTTCACAACAACTTGCCCTGACTTAAACCCATGTTTGTCAGGAGAAACCTAAAAATGGCTGTCCACCAATGTTTACCATCCAACCGGACAGAACTGGAGAGGATCTGCATGTGATATTTGAGTTTTTCTTTTTTAAATAAATCTGAAAAATGTCACAAATTCTCTGTTTTTCTGTCAACATGGGGTGCTGTGTATATATGAATAAGGAAAAAAATGAACCTAAATGATTTTAGATGGTTACAATATTAAAAAAAGAGTGGAATTTTTAAGGGGGTCTGAATATTTTGCGTACCCACTGTATGTCTAGTATTTATATGTGTATACACAAGAGGTTATTAGTAGTTAATGGATTAAATAACAGTATCTAAATATGTCCAAGTACCCTGTAAAAAATACTACGTTTGACAGAATAGATGTTAAAATTGCTTTCACACACATATACTTTATTATATATTAGATATATTAGATCTGTAAATATTTTCTCTTTATGAGCTATGGGACCCACAAGGATTTACAGTTCAATTAATAACATCATTATAGTCTCACATGATCCCATAATCCCGCATGGAGCCAATAAATACTCTGAGGTCGTGATACAGATGACTGAATGTGTCCGAGTGCAAGAAATTTAAGGCTGCGCTGTTTTTATGTCAGCTCTATTATGTCATTACTGTACATTGCAGCTGTTTTTGTCTGGTAGCTACAGTAAATGACTGCTGTGGTCAATGGGGTTGTTTTTTAAATGGGTCTCCAACCATAATGGCTACACTCAGCTTCGGTCCAAGTTTCTAAAGGGGTAGTAAAACCCTGGGTGGGCATTGAAGGTTCAATAATTCAAATGTCCAAAGTTATGGGTGTATACTGCATGTATGGCATGGTTAGTGCAAATTAATGTGTCTGTCGATATTTTTCTAAAAAAAAAAAAAAAAAAAAAGAACATGCCACTGTTTTGAAAAGCCAGTAAAACGCAGCCTGGTGTTAAAATCAGCAAACCTGAAGCAGTTTTACAGCCTAAACCATATTTCACAACTAATAAGAATCCAGAATTCCACAACACTGTTCTGTGCTGGTACTGTAAGAAAGAAAGTAAATAAATAAATAGATCCAAAAGGAGATCATTGTGTAATAGTCTCAATATTCTAGGATCATAGTTAGTCCCTCATGTTACATGCCAAATACTTGTTTATTTATCTCAGAGACAATCAAAGAATGCATGTATTCTGATTACATAAATTTGCAGCAACTGTAATTGTAATAGAAAATACAAGATTATAAATGCATTATATTTGATTAAATATTAAGAAAGAAAGAAAGAAAGAAAGAAAGAAAAAAAGAAAGAAAGAAAGAAAGAAAGAAAGAAAGAAAGAAAGAAAGAAAGAAAGAAAGAAAGAAAGAAAGATCAGTTTAGTTCACAGAGAAACATTCATTTGAAATGACAAACTAAATAAAATCGAATTCATTAAGGAAAAAATGTATACAGGTATGTGCACTATGGAATTAAATCAATGCCAAAAGTATTGACTTAAAAAGCTGGTTGAATAGCACAAATTGAAAAAAGTAATACAGTGAATTAACACTAACATTGCTGTCACTCTGAAACAAGTTTTATTAATAGAGAAACTTACAAAGCACTGCATAGTTTGAGTTAGAGGTCTGCATTCCCGCGGGCGCCGCAGGACCCGACCAGATTTCTGCGGCGCAGGAATAAATTTCCGAATAAATCGCGGGAGCAGTCGGTAACGGGTTTAATTTGGGACGGGAGCGGGCTGTCTAGCAATATCGCGGATATTGCTATGAGAATGAGAGAGAGAGAGAGAGAGAGAGAGAGAGAGAGAGAAAGAGAGAGAGCAAGCTTTGCCTGTGTATGTGCTTGGTGCTTGTGTGCGTGTATGTTAGTGCGCGCGCACGAATGAGAAAGAGAGAGAGAGAGAGCTTTCCCAGATAGCAAAATACACTCGGGCAGTTCCAGCTAGATTCTCGCCTGCCGGAGACTCACCACTCAGCCCGGCTCTGGCTGCAGAACTCCGGATGCTTGTGGACTCACTGCCCGATTTCGGCCCGAATCAATATTCAACTCAGTATTTATATACCTTTATATAAACCCTTTTGGTATTACATTGGTACTTGATACATGGTATTACAAGCCTTTGAGTTGATATAACAGCAAACGCCTGTGTGTCTGCTTGGTGCTTGTGTGTGTGTGTTAGTGCGCGCGCGCTCGTATGAAAGAGAGAGAGATTTGTCTGTGTGTGTGTGCTTGGTGCTGTGTGTGTGTATGTTTATACAGACAGCTTGGCTGTCTGGGCTGTATAGCTGGGAGATTTTCGGTTTTGTTCTCCCCGCTCTTTAGCGGGATCGGGCGCGGCGGGCAGAAAAAGGGGCGGGTCAGGCAGCGGGACGATAAATTCTTAATATAAGTGGGAGCGGTCGGGTTCGGGCTAAAACCTGGCAGGTGCGGGCGGGAGCGGGATTCAAAATTTAGTCCCGCGCAGATCTCTAGTTTGAGTGTTCTGTGTTGGTCTGAAAATCCATACCTTGGCAGTTTGCCGGTCCTTCACTGAGCCTTTCCCCTTAGCAAAGAAACTTTTCAAAGATGTCTGTTTCTTACTCATTTTTCTGCTTGTGGGTTAAATTTTGGGCGCTCAGGTGACCGAGATGTACCATTAACGGTGAGAATACGGTCATTTTTCAAAATACGACTTTTCAAATAAAAGATCGTTCAGCCTCAGATAATAATTAAAACGGAAATAACTAATTATTTCTTGTGCGGTCCAGTACCAATTGATCCACGGACTGGTGGTTGAGGACCACTGAGCTAGGGGATAAAATGAACTAAAGCAACATGATCCACTGCTAAGACATTTTTCAAATATGACGTGACCACCCACAAAGCTTGCTGAGGCCCTTTTGTGGGCTGGCACCCCCTGCTGGGAACCGCTGCTTTACAGTAAGTCTAACTGAACCTGTTTTTTTATTATTATTAATCTTTACTTTGCCCCTTTTTATGAAAATCTACAGAAATAATATAGAGCAATAAAATATTAGTGCTGGCTTTCATCAGACAATTTATCTGATGCAAAACTAATAAAATAAAGGATGCTGCCTTCTGTAACGCAGAACACCAGAATCTTTTGAACATTAGAAGCATGAATTTTAAAGATATTATATCATTAGGGATTTAAGGTCAGGTAAAGTTCTAAAGAAACGTTTTAAAGGTAAACCCCTATTTAAAGTATTTATTATGAAGCACTAATTTAGGAAGTATTGCAAATGTTCTTTGTTATGCTGTTTTTTTCAGCCTGTTTGAACTTTAAAGTTCATATTATGTCATAACTTAATTTTGTATAGCCGACTTGCATATTAATTAGTAAGCTGTTAATAATAATAACTAAGGGTGTCACGATCCTCCAAATCCTCGATACGATTACATTTTCGATTCTAAAGGCACGATTCGATTCGATTTTCGATTATGAATAATTAATTAATTAATGACCAATTAATTATTTGTACCCTATCGTTTAAACTACCTGACCTGCATGGTCTTTGTTTTACCCATAAACAAATCATACAGTAAATGAATAAAGGCAAGTTACACATAATTACCACCTGTCAATCACTTTTTTCTGCGGGACTCGTGAATAGGCAGTGATCTGTGTCGTTATAATGGCGTTGGTAAAAAAGACGCACAACCAACAGAAACCAGCCAACAGTATCTGAGGTGTTCGCTAAAATGACTAAGTACAAGTGAGTGAAAGATTGAAGCAGTCTACTGACTCCCTGGACCTGCTGTCTCGAGCGCATGGCTGTGTGTGCGTCTGTGTCTGTGTGGTCATGTGATGTGCATTTTAAGAGGTAGAGAGGAAGAAGGGCTGCACAGAAATGCTACACGCCACTGTGGATGTCAAATCGTTGTCGTTCTAAAATGCCATTTAAAAACAAAGACAGTGTAAACAGGGCCTGAGTGTGTACTTTTTGTGAGCGGATTTGCAACGGTGGCGGGCGGAGGATGGCGATGCCGGTGTTGTCTATCGGACGAACCTTACGTAATACCTACATAACAGAGCTTGCAAAACTGTGTTTTTTTTTTGTCGACAACACGAACGTTGTCAACATAACTCACTGGAAATCCAAAATGCTTACACACCGGCGACTTTATTGAAAGAGGAGAGGGTTTAAGTTCTGTCGACGGGTCTCCTGCTTCTGCAGTTTAACAAGCACTTCAACAAGCCTGTTTTTTTCCTGCTTGGCAAGCCAAGCTGACGTGACATGGGGCGTGGCAGCATCGACGATTCTATTCTTTGATTCGATAATCGAAATTGGGCATAAATTTCGACCGATTTCTATTAAAAATCAAAATCTTGACACCCCTAATAATAACAACAACAATTTTACATATATATAGTATACAAACTATCCTAAAAACTTGGCTTAACCCGTTAGAATGGGTTATAAATTCAGTATACAGTTTATTGCTTACAGACCTTTCAAGCACATATAGAAGAAACATCTATATTCTACATGCAGTCAAGAACCCAGAATATGAACACAACACGTAAAATACCATGTTATTTGTTATTCTCCCATACTCAACTATTACAAAGAAAATGCTTAATGAATTTGGGGGGTGATGAATGTGACCCTGAACAACAAAACAGATTTTTTATCAACTGGTGAAATAAACTTGCAACTAGTGTATATTTTGTTAGAATAGGATAATATTTGGCTAGGGTTCAAAAATACTTAGATGTTGATTTTGATATAATGCATTATTGTTAAGCCTGTGCATAATTGCTGTTTATTTGTCTCTGCACATACTAAAATTGCAGATGCTGCTTCACATACTGTAATGTGCTTTATGTGAATCTTGCAAACTCTCTGCACTTGATTCGAACAGTGCCACTGATACACTCTGCTCCACACTAGCATCATGTCTAGACCAATTATGTCCTCTTGCATCCAGGCCAGCCCGTGCCAGTCCTCCTGCACCCTGGCTCTCGGATGCTCTCCGTGAGCATCGCTCAAAACTTCGAGCTGCAGAAAGAATTTGGCGGAAAACTAAAAATCCTGCACAGCTCTTAACATACCAAACTCTTCTGTCCTCTTTCTCAGCTGAGGTTACTTCGGCAAAGCAGACATATTACCGTCTGAAAATCAACAATGCCACTAATCCTCGCCTACTTTTTAAAACATTTTCCTCCCTCCTCTATCCTCCTCCTCCACCCGCATCCTCCACACTTACTACTGATGACTTTGCTACATTCTTTTGCACTAAAACTGCAAAAATCAGTGCTCAATTTGCTGCACCTACAACAAACACGCAAGGTACACCACCAACACCACACACACTCACCTCTTTTTCTCAGCTCTCTGAGTCTGAGGTGTCCAAACTGGTGCTATCTAGCCATGCAACCACCTGTCCACTCGATCCCATTCCCTCTCATCTCTTGCAAGCCATCTCTCCTGCAGTCATACCAACACTGACTCACATAATTAACACATCTCTTGACTCTGGTTTATTCCCCACTTCATTTAAGCAGGCTAGGGTAACCCCACTGCTAAAGAAACCCAACCTGGACCATACGCTACTTGAAAACTACAGACCAGTATCCCTGCTTCCATTCATGGCCAAGATTCTGGAGAAAGTAGTGTTCAATCAAGTCCTGGACTTTCTTACTCAAAACAATCTCATGGACAACAAGCAATCCGGCTTTAAGAAAGGCCACTCAACTGAGACTGCCCTGCTCTCGGTCGTGGAGGATCTCAGACTGGCTAAAGCAGACTCTAAATCATCAGTCCTCATTTTGCTGGACTTGTCAGCTGCTTTTGACACGGTCAATCACCAGATCCTGCTATCTACGCTCGAGTCACTGGGCGTTGCGGGCACTGTTATACAATGGTACAGATCTTACCTCACTGACAGATCATTCAGGGTGTCTTGGAGGGGTGAGGTGTCCAACCTACAGCATCTAAACACTGGGGTACCTCAAGGCTCTGTTCTTGGGCCACTTCTCTTCTCCATCTACACATCATCTCTAGGACCAGTCATCCAGAGACATGGATTCTCCTACCACTGCTATGCTGATGATACCCAGCTATACCTCTCTTTTCATCCTGATGATCCCTCGGTTCCAGCTCGCATTTCAGCCTGCCTGTTGGATATTTCACACTGGATGAAAGATCATCATCTTCAGCTGAACCTCGCAAAAACTGAAATGCTTGTAGTTTCTGCCAACTCTACTCTACACCATAACTTTTCAATCCAGATGGACGGGGCAACCATTACTGCATCCAAAATGGTGAAAAGCCTTGGAGTAACGATTGATGACCAACTAAACTTCTCTGACCACATCTCTAGAACTGCTCGATCGTGCAGATTCACACTCTATAACATCAGAAAGATCCGACCCTTCTTATCTGAACATGCAGCTCAACTCCTTGTTCAAGCTCTTGTTCTCTCCAAACTGGATTACTGCAACTCTCTACTAGCTGGGCTTCCAGCTAACTCTATCAAGCCTCTTCAACTGCTCCAGAATGCAGCAGCACGAGTGGTCTTCAATGAACCTAAACGAGCACATGTCACTCCGCTGCTACTCCGTTTGCACTGGCTGCCAGTTGCTGCTCGCATCAAATTTAAAGCTCTGATGTTTGCCTACAAAGTGACTTCTGGCCTTGCTCCTTCTTATCTGCTCTTGCTTCTGCAGATCTATGTGCCCTCCAGAAACTTGCGTTCTGTGAATGAACGTCGCCTCGTGGTTCCATCCCAAAGGGGGAAGAAATCACTTTCGCGAATGCTCACGCTCAATCTGCCCAGTTGGTGGAATGAACTCCCTAACTGCATCAGAACAGCAGAGTCACTCGCTACTTTCAAGAAACGACTAAAAACTCAACTATTTAGTCTCCACTACACTTCCTAATCTGTAATTGCCTCTCTGAATATCACACTAACTGTACAAAAAAAAAAAAAAAAAAACTAATACTACTAATACTTCCCTTCTTAAACTTTACAGACCTGAAACTTGCTTATAGCACTTATTCATTGCTGCTCTTGGTTGTGTAAATTGCTTCCTTGTCCTCATTTGTAAGTCGCTTTGGATAAAAGCGTCTGCTAAATGACTAAATGTAAATGTAAATGTTTATAACCATCTTTGTTTCTGTAATCTCTTTCAGGAGAATCTCTCTTAAAGAAAAATTAGAAGGCGAACCAAAGGCCCAGATAGAGGAAAACAAGAGAAAAGCCGAGAAAATAATTGAGCACATCATAGAAGAAAAAGAAAAGGCCAACGTGGATAAAGAAATGAAATGGAGGTCAATGATGAAGGAACACATTGAACGATATGACACCCTTGCAAACTACTTGGCCCAAGATGGAAATTTGTGAGTTTCTTGTCTGAATTCTCCTCCGTCTTTGGGAACAGAAGACACAGTAACAGTGTTTAACCCTCTGTGTTTTGTCGTGTGTTTTTGTGCAGTGATAAGAAGCTAGACCTCCTGCAAAAGATCATGGACACCAGTTATATCTGCCTCAAAGATGCCAAGAAGAAGAATAAAGAGCTGCTGGAATTAAAACATGGCACTCTCTTAAAAATCTTAGTAAGTGAAGAATGTATCTTAAGTAAAGCTGTTAAACTCTTACACTCATCCAAATATAATATCACACTGTACAACTGAGCTCAAACACAACTTCTTTTCTCTCCAGAATGAAAGTATGACAGAGATGATCTCCGAGATCAGCAGAAGCAGGGAGAGTGCTGAAGGGATCATCTACCATCCAGCTCTTCATTTAAAGGAGGAAGCAGTGGTGGACTCCAGTTTGGAAGCTGGCAAGTTTATTAAAAGCCACAACCTCCAAACAACAATGAATCAGCGCTTGCTAGATCTACCTTTCCAGTAAGATATATAAATGCTTTTCTTTATGACCCTAATTATGATCAGAAGTGGTTATAATTCTATTCAAATGTGGCCAACTGGAGGATTGAGTGGTCCTTTGAAACCACTTGGTAATCTTACTATTGCTTTATATTTTTCATAGACAAAGACAACAGGAGATAACCATGAAGGAATGTAAGATTGATGAATGGAGAAAACATCAAGGACAAACTGGCAAATGTCTGCAAATGGCACTCGCGCCTTCTGTGATTATAGTAAGTGTCTTAATCATCAAATACCAGATCATTGATCAAAATTGTGCGACTTAGTTTTATCATATCTTTATTGCAGACTGGAAGAAAGCTGAAGCCACTCAGCACACCTCCAAGAGCTGTACAGAAAGCGGAACTGGTTAAACTGCCTTGTCAAGACCTCAAGAAAAATATCTACAAAAAAAATAAAATATGAATGAATATTAGTTTTTGCATTCTTTTGTGCAAGTATATTTTTAACTGAATGTCAGACATGTTGTCTCCTATGTTGTGTTGGAAATCAATACATCCAAATTGGAAACATTTTGCAAGATGTCAGAACTATAGAAAGAGAACAAGCAGAAGATCTGTGATCGGGTATAAATTCAACAGTTGACATCTGATAGACTTTGATGTGCTTTTAATGTGTTATTTGATTTTTATGTATACAATATACTTAATTGATGTAAAGATACTGAAAAATTAATACACAAAATCATTTAGAAACCTATAACTGTCATATATATTTATAGTGTGTTGTCCATATTTAACTTACACACACACACACATTTAGCACAAGTAGCAGTGCTATATGGCTGTTCATCGGGACTGGTGGGAGGCATGCCTTGCCTTAGTGTCCCACCAGTGATATATATATATATATGATATACAGCCATATCGCACTGCCATAAGTGTGATATTGCGTTTATACAACAGTTTGATGGCATAATCCTGTATATAAAAGAGAAAATGTAACACGGAGAGTATGAAAATTGTTTTGAATGAGGAACTACCTTTTATTATCTATTTACTACTACATTCCAAAGTTAACGGTGATTAAACATTGATT